TCCATTAACATCATCTATGTTCTATTGGGGGGCAGCTAGGTTGTGTAGTGGATAGGCCTGGAGTCAGGCAGACTCATCTTCCTGAGTTCAAATCTGGCCTCAGACATTTGCTAGTTGTGAGACCCTGGGCAAGTCACTAAACCCTGTTTGCCTCAGTCTCTCCATCTGTAAAAATGAGCCAGAGAAAGAAATGACAAACCACTCCAGTATCTTTGCCAAGAAAATCTCAAATGGGGTCATGAAGAAAAAGGACTGAACAACAACAATAGAAATGTTCTATTGTATTTTTACTTATTTTGCTAAATATTTCCCAATTCCATTTTAATCTGGTTCTAGCTACTAGAGTTGGGGCAGCCTGTTTGACACTTCAGATTCATCCATCTCCTTTCATTTTATAGATGAAGAAAGTGAAGCCCAGAAACATCAGATGACTTGTCCAAGGTCACACAGATAACAAGTAGCTGAACTGGGATCTGAAATTAAGTCCTCTGATTACTAGACAGGAGCCTATGTTCTATTCCATTAAACACCATTCATTAAGCACCTACTATGTGCAGAGTCCTGTGCTTGGGGTAGGTGGGGGGGTAGAGAGATGGAAGAGATTCAAAGTTAGGTTCTCCCCCATGTTAGCCATCAGTGACTATTAACCAGTTCCATTCACCAGTTAACATCAATTAGCTTTTACAAAAGAATATTTACTTTGAAGTTTAACAAGAAAAGAAAATACAAGCATTTCCATGGTATTGAATCTTGGTGGTACAGTCTTCCCTGATGGAGCTCATAGTCTAATAGAAGGAAAATACATCAATATAGTTAACTATAATTCAAAATAAGACATGGTACATTTGCTTTAGTAATATGCACAAAGTTCCGTGTGACTTAGGAGAAGGAAAAGATTTTAAATTTTTTTTGCCTTTTTTTATACCAACTAGAGAGATCAAGGGAGGCTTTTGGGAAGAGGTGGCATCGAGTAGGGTTTTAAAGGATGGGGAAAAGGGGGAAGGAAGATGGACTGTCCTTCAGAAAAAGGATTAGGCCAGTTCTGCTTGGCCTCAGGGGGAAGGATCAGGAGCAGCCAGCAAAGCTGAGATCAGTGACTTGCATTCAGCCTGAGGAGCTGGGCTCTCCTCAACAAAAGTCTTCAACAGAAAATTTGATAATGACTGATGGAGAAGATTCTGGTAGAGAGGATTCTTCTTCTCGTACAGGCTGGCTTCTGAGGTCCCTCTGACTGGGAGGGCCTGTGATCCTGGGGTGTGGAGTACACATCACCGAGTCACGGCAATCACAAAGCATTTCTAAGTCCTACCTCTGTGCCAGGCACTGTACTAAATGCTAGTGAGATAAAACCTTCCCTCCCCTCAAGGAGCTTGCCTTCTAAGGGAGGACACAACAATATAGATAACGAGGTATAGAGTCAGAGTAGATAGAAGGTAATCCTGAAGGAGTAGGCTCCAGCAACTGGGAGGCCTGGGAAGGGCCCCTTGTAGCAGCTGGGATTTGAGCTGAGTCTGAAAGGACGCCTGGAAAACTAAAAGGACCCTTCCCAGGCATGGGGACAGCCAACTCAAAGTCACAAAGCTGAGAGCTGGTACACCAGGAGGGAAGAACAGTGGGTAGTCTGGAGCAGCAGGATCACAGCATGTGTGGAAGGGGATTCAAGTGTAAGACTTGGAAAGGTAATGGAGGGAGTACTGTCTCTCCCACTGCCCCAGGGCCAGACTTCTACATCTCCCCCCCAGATGAGGTGACCGCTTGTCTCCTCTAATGCTATTGACCTGTTTCTTCCACCCACCCCTATTAGCCAGCAGTGATTGGTGCCCCCAGTTCCATTTAACCAGTTAATATCAATTAGCTTTTACTAGCTATTTACTTTGAAGACATAGCAAGGGGGAAAAAAAGTACATCCCCTCCCACATCTTGAGGAAACCCTCCTCTATTCACTTTGGTCTCTGGGGAGAATGAGCTCAGTTATAGGATTAATCTGAGTCCCAAAAGGTCACCTTGAGCCTTGGGTTGTCAGATTTAGAATTGAGTGAGAGGACAGGAAGTGGAATTATCAAATGAAGGTTGCTTTCTCAAGGGATTTAGCCAAGAAGGGGATGAAAGGTATAGGATGATAGCTAGTAGAGGTGGTGGGAACAGCACATTTTTTTTTAAGAATGGGGAGACATGGATTTATTTAGCCATCAGAGAAGGAACAGGTGTCAATAGAGTTGGGGTAAGAATGAGGGCAGTCTCTGGAGAACAGGGTGGGATCAAGGGTACATGGGACCACCTTGGCAAGAAGAAGGGTCACCTCTTCCTCAGAGATCTCAGGGAATGCAGAGACAATGGGAGAAGATGTCCAAGGGATGTGAGATGAGGGGAGAAGGGGGGCACCTGATGAATGGCTTCAGTTTTTTCAGTGAAGTAGGAGGTGAGATCTCCAGTAGAGAAGGGGGAGGGATGCCATGGATTGAGAAAAGAGGAGGTTTGGTATAGCCACTGTGGAAAATGGTATAGTTAATACATTAGGGAGGAGTAAGTGTGAGGCAAGGCTGGCAATATAAACTGAGGCCAGGCATAGAAATCTGAACTTGACTCAGTAGGCAACAGTGAGCCACTGAGGGTGTTTGAGTAGAGGAGGGATGTGATCAGATCTACGTACAAGAAAAATTAGTCTGATTGGAAAATAAAGAGAGTGGAAGCCTGAAGCTACATTTAGAGGCAACTGAGCCTATTGAAGGTAGTTGGTGTGTTGGCAGAATTTCTGGGGAGCTGGCACTCTATTACATTTTTGGTGCAACCACAGAAATGTGCAAGCTTTGGGTGGGGGGGGGCAGTCTGGTAATGCACTACAGCTCTGAAATTCTTTCTTCTAGGGACAGTTGCAGCTATTTGATTCTATCCTGGACTTTAACCTTGTCTCAGCCTCTGCCCAGCAGTCAGGTGAGTGGATACAACAATGAAAAAGGTTGGACTCCCAAGCTGGAAGCTGGTGCAAGAGGGGGATGTAGAAGGTGAGGATAGACAAGGTTAGTTGCTAAAAAAGGAATGTAAATGGTAAATGATTTCACAAGGTGCCTCAGGATCCAGGGTTTGTGTTTTAGAGGGGGTGGTGGGGAAGGAGCAGGTAGTATGTAAAAGCTGCAAGACACCAATACATATAGAGTGTAGATGAAAACAATTGCCATCTTTTATCTAGCTTTAAGGTTTGCAAAGCTCTCTCCACAACAGCCCCATGAGGTAGGTGCTGTTGTGAACCCCGTTTTACAGATGAGGGAACTGGAGTTCATGGACTGTGGACCCAGATCTTCACAGCTAGAAGGGCTTTCAGAGGGAACCTAAGCCGACCTCAGTATACAGAGGTGGAAACTGAGATATAGAGGGCCAATGAGACTTGTCCAAGGTCACAAAGCAAACAGTTCACACAATCGGACTTGAGCTCTCAAGTTCTTCCTGCATAACAATGAAATAGGAACATTTTTGAAAAGAGGAAAAGAGGAGGAGAGGAACAGGCCGCTGCACGGAGTGGGCAGGCAGAGGGAAGGAGGGACAGAGCAAACAGAAGGAAGGAGGGACGCACAGAGGGGAACGAACGGAGAGCCTCTCATGGTGGGGAAGGCCCCCTGTCTCTGCCGTCGCACGCATCTGCACACCTGCTCCACCAGGTGGATGGGACGCCTCCTCCAAAGGTCCAGTCCCCTGCCCCCGGGCAGCAGCACTGGCTCCCACTTTCCCCCACGCTCTGGGCCACCTGCGGTGGGGGCAGAGGAGCCTCCCTGTCTGATCCCAGGCTGGCCCAGAGCAGCCGCCGCCGTCACGTGGCCGTCCAGGAAACTGCTAAGAGCTCTCTGCTAAGCGAGAGCCACCCGCCTTCCCGAGTCTGTCTCGCACTCCGCACTCCGGAAGCCCAGCACAGCGGGAGGCCTCCGCTGCCCCACCCCCACCGCCTCAGTCCCTTGGCTCGGCTTGGAGCCTGTCTCAAATCCGCCCAGCGAAGAGCCCTGGTCCACCCCGGAAACCCTCTGGCTGTTCCTCCGCTCCGACTCTACCCGGCGTGCGCTGGCGGGCAGGGAGGAGGAGTTCCGGGCTGGGAGTCCCCGGTCTTGGCTCCGCCACTTTATGCTCTTTGACTTTGGGAAATTCCTGTGCCTTCCTCTCTCCGGGTACTAGATTGCCTCATCTGTCAAACAAGGTGATCGGACCCCAAGGTCCTTTCCAGCTCTCACAAGCTGGAGTTCAGGTTCCCCTTCCACGGCTGCTTCATGGCGAATGAGGATAATCATCTTGCAAGTATACAGGGCTTTGGAAATTGCATCCCCAAGCAGTCAGCGGCTCCCTCTTTTGACCTTCTGGGTGGGTGGGGGTTCTATCCCATTTTATAGATGAGGAGACTGAGCTCTAGAGGAAGGCAATGAATTGCCCAAGGTCATTGGAAGTATAGGGCCAAGAGAGTTTAACTCCACTTTTTGCAAATGAGGAAAGGGAAATGCTAAGAGGGGCATATAACTTGTAAAGGACACCTGGCATATTAAGGGCAGAGCCAGCCCTTGAGCCCAGGGTCTTCTAACTCCCACTCTGGTACTCGTCCTATTGCCACATATCTGTTTGATGGGAACTACCTTTTTTTTTTAAAATTTGTGACACCAGCAGATTACATAGGTTCTCAGTACTCCTCTTTCTGTACTCAACCCAGACTCCCAGCCTCTTTTGAAAACGACCCGTACTTCAGTGCCAGTGCAGGACAGCTTTCCCAGAGCAACATGCCTTCTTTTCGATTCCTCCCTCCCTCTATTCAAATCTTACCTCTCTCGAGTCCCATACCCTCACAGTTCTTCTACTGTAAAAGGCCAACCACCAGCTTAACCTCTGTTTAGATGATAATGGAAGATGGCAGGGCAATATTCCACCTTCTCATCAGTAACTTAGGATAACAATTTTTCTATCTGAAACCCAGCTTTCCTTGTTGTCTCTAGGCCTCCCCAAAACTGAGAGAGGAAGGAAGGAAGGAAAGAACAGAAGAGGAAAGGGAAGGGGAAGAAGAAGAGGCATTTAAGGTATCGAAAATAGCAATCACAAAATTTATGCACTTTACTTACTAAGAAGTATTCATGGTTACTTTGTACATAATTCGAAAAAGGTACAAAAACAGTTTGGTTGTTGGGCTTCCCAGTCCCCAGCTGATTAAAAACAATTAGGATAGAACCAGAGATTGTTAGAGCTTGAAGTGTTTAGAAATTATTTTGCCCAATCCATTAATTTTATAGTGGGAAAAAACCTAAGGCCCAGAGAGGTCAATTGATTTGATCACAAATCAAGTGAGCAGCAGTCCCTGGCCTTGAACACAGGTGTCCCGACTCTAGCTTCAAGGCTCTTTGCTTTACACTGTGCTTGCTGCCCCACTGAAGCACAAGAGAGAGGCTGATGGAGGTGAGCACCCCAGGCTGTGGTGGTGAGAAAAGAGGTAAAATACCAAACAGAGGCAAGAACTCAGAAAGCCTTGTGGCCTGGGTGGAAAGGAGCTGCCTGAGAGCCTTGGGGGTTCTCTCACTGTGTTATGATGAGTAGCATGACCTGTTCTTGTTGTTTAGTTGTTTTCAGTCATGTCTGACTCCTCAGGACTTCATTTGGGTTTTCTTGGTAGAGATACTGGCGTGTTTTGCTATTTCCTTCTCCAGCTCATTTTACAGGTGAGGAAATTGAGGCATACAGGGTTAAGTGACTTGCCTAGAGTCACATAGTTAATAAGTTCTGAGGCTACATTTAAACTCAGGTTTTCCTGATTGCACCTGGAGCTCTTTCCACTGTGCCACCTAGCTGCCTCTGGCAGCATGGCCTACTTAATGGATGGAGACCCACCTTGGAGTCAGGAAAATCTGATTTCAAGTCTTGCTTCTGATGCTGGTAGTATGACCCTGGGCCAGTCACTCCACCTCTCAGTGAAATTATTAAGTTTCAAGCAGGTTCTAACCTGCACTGGTACAGGGAATTTCTTTAAACCGGTGAAATCACAAGTGAGGTCTAAAAAAAAGTAGTAATAATGTTGTGTATCTGCATCCACCCCTACTGCCTTTGATCTGAGACGACCTCCCATTTACATTGTATCTATCTTGCATGTATCTATGTTAGACTGTGGGCTCCTCAGGGTCAGGAACCATGTTTAACACTTTTCGTCACAGCCCCACTGTGCACAGGGCCTGGCAACAGAGTAAGTGCTTAATCCAGGTTCTTGTTGATTGACCACAACTTATTGGCTGTGTGACCTTGGGCAAATCTTTTGCTGGACTTCCATTTCTTTATCTGTAAAATGAAGGTGTTGAATTAGATGGCTGCTTTCAGCTCTGCATCGATGAGCCTACAATTAAAATGTAAGCATTCGGTCCCCTCCGCTCCGTGACTCCAAACGACCTGAAGGTCCAGACTTAGCTCATTTTACTCCCCTTCAGATATTTCAAAGTCTATTCAAACTAAACCTCTTCTGTCACTGAGGATACGAAGATGACAAATGATACATTCCTTGTCTTCAAGAGGCTTATATCTGATGGGGAGATAAGCCAGCCAGCTGTACAAAGACAGAACTGGACTAGGTGCCTCTAAGGAAACTCCAGCTTTGAAGTTGCTGATATTTATACAAATCGCTGTGATACAGCTCACTTTCCTGTTGTCATTCTGCATTTCTCTCTTAGTCCTTTGTAGCTTGATTATCTGTTTGAGAGGGTGCTTAGAGATCAGCTAGTGCAGCCCTGGCCTTTTACGGCTGTCCTGCCTTCTCTGTTTGACTGTTAGCTCCTTAAAGGTAGAGAATGGGTCATTTTTCATCTGGATGCCCTCAGTGACCAGCCCAGGACCGAGTACAGAGGACGTGCTTAGCAGATGTTTGCTGGATTGAGTGGCCTAAATCTCTTCAGAACTTGAAGGTTTATGAACCACTTTGCTCACAACATCCCTGTGCAATTTCTTGGCCCTAAAGAGGAGTCTGGCCTGTTAGCACAGCTTGGAAGTATCAGGGGCAGGATTCAAACCCAAGTCTTCTGACTCGAGGCCTGCTTCTCTTTTTCCCTCCAATCCCACTGAAGCTTGTGCTGTCCAACCTAATGAAGAGGGAGAAGGCAGAGAAAGAATGGAATTAAAAAGCTCACACCCATGTGCTCAGGGAGCTCGGAGTCTGAAGGACCGACATGACTCCCACAGTAGAGAGAATACGCAGAATGAGGTGGAGGGGAAGGCCAGAGGGAGCTGGACCTGTTGGCTCCTTTGAGGACAGGGAGTCGTTGGTTTTTTTCTCTATGTCTAAAGCACCTAGCCCAGTGGCTGGCACATGGCCTATGTCTGATGAACATAGGCCTGTTGACTGATTAGTTACTCATCCCCCTGCTCTCCTCTATCTGTAGCCTTGTGCCAAACTGCTGTTGGGCCAGGAGGGGTTACAAGCAGCCCGAGCTAGGAGGGGAGACACAGGTGTAGGCCTGGCTTGTTCCTGGGGCCTCTGGGATTAACCCTTGAGCTCTGCTTAGGTCAGGCCTGGGACAGTTGTTTTCTCTTCATGGTGTAGAGGAAAGAGCCCTGGATTTTGAACCAGAGAACCTGAGACCCAGCTCTGATACCCTGGTCACTGTGTGACCTTGGATATGTCAGTTTCCTGCTCTGGGCCTCATTTCTTGTCTTTGAAGGGAGTGGCCTGGATGATCCCTGAGGTCCTTTGAGCTTTTGAATTTGAGGAAACATAGTTACTATCACATACTGCAATCTCAATCTTTTCCACAAAGGTCTCCCATACTGATGCATCACTGTGCTGGAGGAAGGGACATGAGGACGGGCAGGACCCACTGTACTGGAAAGGCAGTGTGGGCTCAGAACATCTGTTGTGGGAGGCCCAGCCTAGCTAAGGACAGAGAGGTGAGGCTTATCTCCAGGGGCTGCAATATAAGGAATGTTTCACCCTCTTACTGAAGTATGGAGTATGGGGTAGGGAAGATTGGGATCTGCATAGGTGGAGGGCATGCCCACAAGACCTCCCCAGATTCCCTTGTGTGTACCTTTGATTTACCTGTCTGTGTGCTCCTGTTTTCCTCCAGTGGAATGTAAGCTTCTGGAGGGCAAAGCCTGTTTCTTGATCTTGGTCTTCCTGTCATCTGGCACACAGGCCAGTGGTCCATAACTGCTTGTTCAATTAAATAAAACGGTGAGAACACAGAGCCTTGAAATGGCAGAGCTTCCCCTTTGGGAGAAGGTGTGCTCCAGGCTCTCTGCCTGGCAGGGCTGAGGCTGAAGAAACAGGGCCCCACTGGGGAGTAGGAAGAATATAGTGCCCCAGATCTAGAGCTGTCCTGAAGGGCAGCCCGGGAAGCGCCTCGGCCCACAGAGCCGAGCAGGAATAGAGTCTGGATTCCAAATCCAGAGTGGGCTGCACTGCTTCTCCAGAACCTCCTGGTTCTGGGCGGCCTGGAGGGGAGAATGCTAGTCCTGGAGTCAGGAAGACTGAGTTCAAATTCAGCCTCAAACGCTTACTGTGTGACTCTGGGCAAGTCATACGTCACAAACCCAATATCTCCCTCTGTTTCCTTGTCTGTAAGATGAGAATAATAGTAGGATCTACCTCCCAGAGTTATTGTGAGGATGAAATGAGATAATATTTATAAAGTGCTTTGCCAACCTTAAAGTGCTATATAAATGTTAATTTTGTTGTTGTTATATCGTTTCTTCACACTCTCATAAAGGAGGATTTATAGGCTGTGCCTGACTCTAACCTTTGCCATTAACTCTATAAATCTCAGCCTTTCTTGATCTCTTTCCCTACCTGCAAAATGACTGAGTTGAATGACACGGCCTGTGAAATAATTTCTAGATGTGTATTTCTGCTGCTCTGATCTCCATGCTCTCAGAGATAAGAGCCTTGTCCCAGCATCCACTGAAGCCCAGAGGAACCTTTCCAAAATGGAGAAGAGTCCATTGACTTGTTTAGAAAACTGAATCTTAAATACAAATCTTTGGTGGTCTCCCCCTCACTGCAGCCCCTTCCTCTGGCCCCGCCTCCTTGTCTCTCAAGGCAACTGTGCCCTCCCAAAGTGAAAGGCACAGAAACCATCTGTGCTGGGCTAATTACAGACTCAATTGGCCACTTAGTCATTGGGAAGGAGTGGGCAAGTGGCTAATAGCCCCCCAAATTGGCCAATTAATGACGCGTGCAGTTTCTGCACCTGCAATTCTTTCCAGCAAAGGAAAAAAAAACTAGGCTAGAGGCACAAAGAAAGGCAGCCAGAGAGTGGGAGTACCGCTCCCCACCCCCACTTTCCCTCCCCCCCCCCAATCCAGTCGGTTGTCTCCGTCTCTGAAATACTAGTGAGCAGGACTTTTTCTGAATATTTGGCGGTGACACTTGACCCCCAGCGTCAGCCTCATGGTCCGTGAATTAGACACAGAGCACAAACCCACAGCGGGTGGGCCTGGACTGAGTGGGATCAGCGCTGGAAGGGAGAAGGTGGAAATCATCTATACTACCCTCCTCTTTTTACAGTGAAAGAAACTGAGACCCAGAGAGGGGAGCAGACTTACTCTAGGTCCCAGACTGAGTCAGTGGTAGAGCTGGCACTAGGACCCCAGCCTCCTGACATTCAGTTCCAGATCTTTCCCACCACATGAGTAGTTAATGAATTAGGCCTTGAAGCCTTCATGGTCTTTTGCTGGATGGAGAGGACACGGACATAGGCTAATGTGAAGAAAAAGGAATAAAGCTAAGTGGGGCAGGTAAAAGGTCATGGAGACAGTGGAGAGGCTGATCTACCAGGGGAAATATAGAGAGGAGGAAGAGGATGGTAAGGCTGGACTATGGACAGGCCTTGAATGCCAGGCTGAGGAATTTAGATTTATCCCATTGAAATCTTGTTTGTATAAAATGGTTTAGTGCTTTTTTTTTCTCTTGGGTAATTGGGGTTAAGTGACTTGCCAAGAGTCACACAGCTAGTAAATGTTATGTGTCTGAGGCCAGATTTGAACTCAAGTCCTCCTGAATCCAAGGCCAGTGCTCTATCCACTGTGTCACCTAGCTGCCCCGGTTTAGTGCTTCTTCAGCAGGCATTGTCTTTGCCTTTGTATCCTCAGTGCTCAGCACAATGGCTGGCACATAGTAGGTGCTTAGTAAATGCTTGTGGACTCAATGAGTATGTTGTATAGTGAGAAGAACACTGATTTGCAGGCAGAGGTCCTGGGCCTCCATGCCAGCTCTCCTGCCTTTTATCTTTGATGATGTATTTTCCTTCTCTGGGATCCCATTTTCTCGTTTGTAAAATCAGAGTGTGGATGAGGCAAGGGGTTCTTAACCTGAGGCTGATGGCGGGGGTTTGTGCATAGACTTCCAGGGGTCCTTGAGATTGGATGGAAAAAATACATCTTTATTTCAATATGATTGATTTCCTTTGTCATGCTATGTATTTTATCATATGCACTTAAAAACATCATTCTGACAAGGGGTTCCAGAGCTTCACCAGATGACAAGAGGGGCCCATGACACAAGGAAGATGAAGATCCCCTGGAAGGATGATCTCTAAGGGCCTCTGATCTTAGGATAAGCATGTGGAATGGAAAGGGAATGAAACTAATCCTAGGCCTGTCAGGTTCATTCCAGAAAAAGCCTGCTGGCAGTGGAAAACACTGACGTGGGTGTTGATGAAGACTCAGTGTCTCCATGAGTAGAGCATTAGCTTTGAGGTCAGCAGGCCTAGATCCCAGTTCTGCCACTTATTAGCTGTGTGACCCTGGGTAAGTCACTTCCCTTCTGGGCCTCATTTTCCTCATTTGTAAAATGAAGGGGCTTGGCCTAGAAGATCTATTAAGGTCACTTTAATCTCTATGATCCCAGCGGGAAGTTTGGAGAGGAGTTTGATGGCATATATAGGATAAAACAGCAGGGGTAGCCTGGAAGTGGGGAGACCAATGGTGCCTGGCCTCCTTCCAGCCACAGAGGGTATGCTTTTAAGCAGGTTCAGCATCTTGGCTAAAACTCAGCCTTGTGAGACCAGTGTAGGCAGACTGGAAAACAGGGGCCCCTGAAGCGAGAAGGCCCTTTGGGGCCCCTTGTGCTTTCCTCAGCCTCAGTGAAGCTTTCCCTGGGAGCCTGGGCTGGAGTCGATCTCCTGCCTCCTAAATGCTGAGATCTTTGTCAGTCAGTCAGCAGATCTGCAAGGCCCTGAGTGAGCTTTGTACCACACAGCTCAGTCCTCAGAAGCAAAGAACCTGAGAAATAGTAATATCACAGAACAGAGCCTGACCGGGCCAAGAGGGAGCTTATTGATTATAGAGTCTGACCCTGTCATTTTACAGTGTAGACCAGAGAGGGGAAGTAACTTACTCAATGTCACATAGCATAACAACAACAACAATAATATAGCTAACATTATATAGTGGTGTAGTGGCTTAATTATATTTTCTAACTTGATCTTCACAATGAGGCTGGGAAGTAGGTGCTATTATTATTCTCATTTTACAAATGAGGAAACTGAGGCAAACAGAGGTTAAGTGACTTGCCCAGGGTCGCACAACTAGGAGGTATGTTTGTGACAAGATTTGAGCTCAAATCTTCCTGACTCCAGGTCAAATTCTCTCCACTGTGCCAGACAGATACTATTAAGTGTTACTGTAACTCTTGCCATCCTTGTTGCTGTCATCTGCCAGCTGCCTGGTCACTCTCCTAGCTTACTTGGCTCCAGCTTTGTTTGTTTTCCCTGCCAAGAAGGATGATCTTTGGACTGGAAGGAACAGAAAAAAATGGCCTACAGGTTGTTGAAACCTGAGATAAGCAAGGCGATAATAAGAGAGCACCTGCCGGCACGGAATGAACTCAAGTCACCAGCCGTACGTGAAGTATGGACAGTCCGGGCTATTAGAAGAACCAGGGGAGGGGACCTTAGTGACCAGAGAGGACAAGAGAGGTGCTGCAAGACTGGAAAGTGGCCAGATGTTGTCCTGAGAGTCAAGAAAAGCAAAACAAGGAGAGCCTAAAAACCGTAGTCCGGAGACCTTGAATTCAGTCCCTACCCAATTCTAGACCACATGATCAAAGGAGCAGCTAATGAGAATGTAGAAAAGGGATGGCTGGTTACAAAGGACCGACCAGACTGACTTCATTTGTGTTGTCACGTGCATTCTGCCTAGCTTTCAGACTTTGAATAAGTCCATCATGCTGCCCTGGTGGACAGACCAGAGAGACAGGGGCTGGATGGGGGAGAAGCTAAATGGACTTGAAACTGCTTGAATTGCTGGGCTCAAAGAGTGGTTGCTGATGGCTCCTGTCAGCTTGAGAGGAGGTATCTAATAGAGTTCTTCAGGAATCCGTATTGAGCCTTCTGCCTTTCAGCAGGTTACCAGTGACTGGAATAAATGCAGAGATAGGATGCTTAGCAATGAGCAGATGACACAGAGAGGGACTGCCAACATGTTGGGTGACAGAGTCAGCTTCTGAAAAGGCCTGGAAAGACTAGAACCCTGAAAAGAATCTCAGAAGGTAGAATTTAATAGGGATGGATTAAAATCTGATATTGGTGTTTAAAAAGGTCAACTTACTGAACTTGTCAAATATAAGATGGGCAAGGTGTGACTAGATAGTTATTCATTTGAAGAGATTTGAGGATTTTAGTAGACTCCGACCTCAGTGTGGTACATCAGCCAGAAACCAAACAACCTAATGTCCTCTAGGGCTTCCCACATTGCTTTGGAGCCCAAGAGACTCACTGACAGAGGGTCCTGAATGGCTTGTTGGCAGAGGCTGTGTGGGCATAGGGATGTCTCTGAGGTAGGATCTTTTGAAAGAAGTGCTCGGGCACTTAGGAAAGAGGAGAGGAGAAGGTAAACATGGAGGAAGGCCATGGTTTCTGATTTGAGGATTTCCTCCAAGCCGTGCCATGCTATCCCATGTGCCACTGGATTTTTAAGACATTGAGATCCTTCCTGCCCTCCTGCATTTCAGTGCTGGACCTAGGACTCTTCTATCTCTCAGGAAGCCCTGGGAGACTTCAGCCCTTCTACACAGGGATCACATGCTGTAGCATCCTGCAGGCTCATGGCTCTATCAGGAAAGAGACAAGGTGACTCCACCGTGAAAACATAGCCCCTTTTGTGGTCGTCCTGTTGGCAAGTTACTCACCATTTCCTCCTTCCTTTGGCTAAAAGTGGATGAATGCGAAGGGCCCAGAGGACTGGCTGGATTCTGACCTTCTGTCCCTGGGGGTTAGGAGGTGACAGTCTGGGCCATTGGGGGGTGTGTGTGTGTGTGTGTGTGTGTGGTTTCTATTTGTGCAGTTTCCTTCATTGCAATTTTAAATAAATTGTCCCTTTTTGTCACTTTTATGTGGGTCATGTGATTAATACTGGATGGTCATACTGAAGAGCTTGAAAGAGGGAAAGAAATTGGGGCTCAAGAGGAAATAATTGAATTGATGATGAACAAAGTTTTAAAAGCCTAAAACTAGCTTGGGAGGTGAGGGTGGGGAGGGCTGGCTACAGTGGAATAGTGTCCAGGCCAAGAGAAACAAGCAAGAGTCCCTTTGGGTTCAGTTTGAGAACCACATTTTAGGAAGGGCTTTTATAAGCTAGGGGTGGGGTACAGGAGAAGGATGACCAGGATGGTGAAGGGCTTTGATACCAGGCTACAAGAACAGGGGAGGAGGTTTAGCTGAGAGAATACAAGACTCAGGGGTCACAGGATCATTGCCTTCAACTATCTGGAGGGTTGTCATATGGATAAAAGATTTGCTTTGGTCTACTTAGAGAAACAGGTGGAAGCTGTAGAAAGGTAGATTAGGTTTGGTATCTATTCAGAACAAAACCAAACCTTAGAGTTGGACAGGACCTTGAGGTCCCTCTAGTACAGACCTGCACAACCATGCCAAAGGATTTTGGTTGGCCCCCGAAATCCTTTGGCGTGCCGCAGGTTGTGCAGGCCTGCTCTAGTACAGTACATGCCCGAGAGGAATTCCCACTCTAATATAGTCGTCTAGGCCCTGCCTGAAGATAGTCTATGAAGAGCAGCCCACTGCCTCCCAAGGCAGCCCATTCCACTGGGGGACAGCTGGAGGTCCTGACACCAGGCCTAAATTGGCATCCGGAGCCTTCCAGCCATTGTGCATAGTTCTGCCTCTGGGCCCAAGCTGAACGGGTGGAATCCTCCAGAGGACAGCCACTCACACACTTGATCGTGGTCCTCCCCTCATCTCCCGGCCCCAAACTTCTCAAGACGAACCATCTCCACTTCCTCCTACCGATGCTCACGTTGCTTCCTAAGAGAACGATCCCAAAGTAGGCTACCTCAGGAGGTCGTGGGTTCCAGTGTGCAAGGAAGGGCGGGACGGTCACTGACTTGTTGATATTGTACTTGGCCAAAAATCTGCTCCACAAGTTGGACTAGGCGCCTTCGGAAGTATTTCCCACTCTTGACAATTTTCACACTTGGATGATAATAGTATTCCTCCCTACCTCATCCCTAGCCAACGTTTTAAGAAATTAATTCCCCCAATTCTCCTTCAGTTTCAGAGGATTAGGTGTCCCTCTGTTTACCCCTCTACTGGTGTCCTCAGTCCCATGCCACTCTTATCCCCTCTGGAAAGTTGTCTCTGCTAACATTTCCTCTCCTTGTCCGCTGGCTCGTCCTCGGCTGCCATCTCTCCTGGCTTCTTGTTGTGTTAAGGGATGTTTACATCAAAGAGATAGCAAGAATAAACATGCCAACGTTGCTCCTGACACCTGGAGACCCCACCCCCACTCTGCCACCTCTTCCTTGGGGGAGGGCTGAGTTGGACTCAGTTTCTACATGGCATTAATCGTACCAAGTTCAAGTCAAGGCTCCTCAGGATCCTTACGTCTCATGCTCCCTAGGCAAATCGGACACCTCATTCCCTGCACTTAGATTGGAAAAGAGTGAGCAAAAAGGTTAAAGACCTAGGCCCATTGGAAGCCACAAGAGGAGGAAAACAGGTGACCTTTAAGCCCTCTCCCCTTACCATATGGTTTGAGTAAAGCCCTCTACCCTCAGATGAAATCCAGCAAGCCCCACCCCCCCATGTCTCCTATTGATAAAAAAAAAAACAACTTTCACTTGCCAAACTCCTAGAAAAGAGTCTCCACACTGCTTGCTTCCACTTTCTCACCTCCCATTCACTTCTCAACCCCTTTCATTCTGGTTTCTGTCCCCACTGTTGACTCTTTGTGACTCTGTATGGATTAAGGCAAACAGAGATTAAGTGACTTGCCCAGGGTCACACAGCTAGTAAGTTTCTGAGGTTGGATTTGAACTTGGGTCTTCCTGATTCCAGGCCCAGCGCTCTATCGACTGAGCCACCTAGCTGCCTCCATCCTTGCTACTTGACTGAAATTATCTTCTTCAAGGTCACCCGTGATCTCTTCATTGCTAAACCCTGTGACTGTTCTCAGGCCTGGTCTTCCTTGACCTCTGTGTAGCATTCGACACTGTTGACTAGGCTCCATTTCTGGATGCAGGCACTCTCCTCTGTGCAGCTTCACAACATTGCTCTGTTATGGTTATCTTCCTACGCGTTAGCCTGATGCTTCTCACAGATCCTTCTGGTGAGTCACTGTGGTGTAGAGATAGAGGGCTGGCCTCCAAGCCAGGATGACCTGGCTTCAAATGTTGCCTGCCGACCAACACATGCTCTCTGTGGGCCAGATGGGCAAGTCCCCTCGTTCTCATGGGCCCAGGCACGTCGGACCAGAAAGTACTAAGGAGTTTCCAAATCGTGAGTTAGTAATCATGTTACGGTTTCAGACCAAAATCTATATGTACAGCACGTGTATGCACGCACGCACACACACACACACAACATATTGTTTTTGTTGTTGCTATTCAGTTGTCCAGTCACTTCCAACTCTTTGTGACCTCATGGAGCATAGCATGCCAATACTGTGCATGGGATATTCTTGGCCAAGATACTGGAGTGGTTTGCCCTTTCCCTCTCCAGCTCAGTTTACAGATGAGGAAGCAATCGGGGTTAAGAGATTTGCCCAGGGTCACACAGACAGTATGTTTCAGAGGCTGGATCTGAACTCAGGTTCACCTTAAACATACAGTGTGACTCAATTTTGTGACTTTCTCCAGCAATTCTTGATCCCCTTTGCAGTATTATGCATGTCCCGCATCCTGGAGCTCAGTTACAGCCCAGAGAACTGTCCTGGGCCCTGGCAGCTAGCTGATGGATGGTGCAGTGGATAGAGGGCTGGGCCCCAAGTCACTTAACCTCTGTTTGCCTTGGTTTCCTCAACTTTAAAACGGGAATAATAACAGCACCTACCTCCTAGGGTTTTTGTGAGATCGCATGAGATAATATTTGTAAAGTGCTTGGCATGAGAGCTTGACACTCAACAAACATTTATTAAGTGCCTGCTATGTGCCTGGCCCAGAGTAACCACTATATAAAGGCTTATTCCCTTTCCTCTTCCCTTTCCTCTCCCTCTCCCTTCTTCCTTCCCCCCCCCAATGCCAAGCACTGCTAAAGAAAGTCACAAAATCGAGCTGATATTCACTATATGCTTCCATACATGTGTCTGTGTATGTTCATACATATGTGTTATAATTTCATTGGTGTAGGGAACTCATGGTTTGTAAACTCCCTTCACTTATGTAGATCAGCAACTCTTCTGTAATTTATAATCTCAGAGAAGAGGCCGGGGCATGAGAATTTAGGGGACTTGCCCATGTGACACAGAGCTAGCCTATCCAGGCTCTGAGCCCAGCTTTCTATGCCATATTGTCCATTATATATGTTGATATGTGCTATAATTTTAGATGTGTAACCCAAATGGATTGTTACTATTGAACTCATCTACTCTATTCTTAGTGACTATTTTAATTTCTTAGGACGTAAGAGGAATCCACTAGAGATTTTTGAACAAGAGAGTGATATGATCTCATCTTTGTCCTGGCTATGACTTGAAGGATGGACCAGAGAGGGAAGAGAGTGGAGTTGGGCTACTCCAGTGGTCCAGGTAAGTGCTAATCTGGCCCTGTACTAGAATGCTTGATGTGGGTACACAAAGGAAGGGATGAAAGATATTTCAGAGATAGAGTTGAGAGAGCCTGGTAGCTGAGAGGTGAGGGAAATGGACAAGTCAGAGAGAGCCCCAAAGTTTTGAACATGGGAAAGGAGGTGAATGGTGGTATCAGTGACAGAAACAGTGAAGTCAAAAGGAGAAACAGGTTTTCTAGATAAGATATAAACTTTGTGATAATCTAGGGTCCCAGGTACAGGTTTACATCATGCCTAACAACTTTCCTCTTCCAGCAAGTCACACAGTGACCACTGACAAGGCTTTCTTCACCCAGCTTTGACTTCCTGGGCAGGTCCATTTAACCCCTCTGAGCCTCAGTTTCCTTATCTATACAATGGGGATAATAGTCCTTGTACCATTTGCCTCATAGGGTGGTGGTGGTGACCTTTTTAAAGCGTAAATCACCATATAAATGGGAGTAGAGTTGTGTATGTGGTTTTTTTTTAAGACAGTTGAGCCTATACCAGCCATAACTTTTCTTCTTCTTAATAATAATAATAATAATAATAGTAATTCATGGCTATGTACCTTAAGGTTTGCAAAGTGTTCTCCTTATAACATTCCTGTGCTTCGGGGATAAAGTGTAAACTCCCCTCTTTGGATTTTAAAGCCCTTTACAACTTGGCTACAATCTGTCTTCCCAGTCACATTTATAAAATTCCTCCCATGCTCTAATGTCCAGCTAAACTGGCATCCTCTCTGTTTCTCTCACAGTGTCCTCCACCTCCCATCTCCCATATCTGTGTCTTTAAAAAAAAAATTTACTTTTTTTTTCAGTTAACCAATTATCTATTTTTTCTTCCTTCCTCCTCCCCAAAAAACAAACAAAACCCTTGTGACAAATATGCAGTCAAGCAAAGCAAATTCCTGAATTGACCATGTCCAAAAATGTGTATCTCATTAAGTCATCACCTCTCTGGCAGGAGGTGGGTAGCATGGTACATTGTGGATCCTCTGGAAATATGGCTGATTATTGAAGTATTCAGAATTCTTAAGTCTTTTGAAGTTATTTATCTTTTTTTGTGGTGGTCATTGTATAAATTGTTTTCTTGGTTATGTTTACTTGACTGTACCAGTTAATACAAGTCTTCTAAGGTTTCTCTAAAATCATCCCTTTCATTATTTCTTATAGCATAAGATTATTCTTAGACAACACAAAATGGGTTGCTATTATCATCTTTGTACATATGCATCTTATTGGTTTTTTTTTTAAAGAAATCTGTTTAGGGTATTGGCTTATTACTAATATCACTGGATCACAGTATGCACATTTAGCAACTTTCTAAGCATGATTCCAAACTGCTTTCCAGAATGGCTGTAATAATTTATAGCTACACCACATAGCCTGTTTTCCTCCAGCCCCTCTAACATTTGTCATTTTTCTTTTTTGTCAACCTTGCCAATCTTATTGGAATGAGATGTAGCATCGGAATTGTTTTCATTTGCATATGTATGATTATTAGTGATTTGGAGAATTTTTTCCCAGGGCTCTTGATAGAGCTTGGATTTTCTTCCTTAGAAAACTGTTTATTTATATCCTTTGATCTAATTAGAGAATAGGTCTTATTCATATAAATTTCTATCAGTTCTTTATATATCTTGGAAATGAGATTCTTATCAAAAAATTTTGCTGCCTCCCATCCAGTTACCTGTTTTCCTTTTAATTTTGGTTGTCTTTAGTTGTTTGTATAAAACCTTTTTTAATTTCATGGAAGCAGTATTGTTCATTTCATCTTCTGTGATTGTCTCCATCTCTTTTTTTGGCCATGGGTTCTTCTCCCACCCAGAGGTCCCAAAAATAATTTCTTCTTCGCTCCTCTAATTTGTTTATGATCTAAGTCATGTATCCATTTTGAATTTAGCTTGGCATATGACACAAGACGCTGGTTCATATCTAATTTCTGAAGTGTTTTCCGTAGTTCTTATTGAATAGTGAGGTATTAGGTCTGACAGAGGCTCATTGCCTTGCCTTTGGATTGGCTGGACTCCCATGCCTTTATCATTTCAACCTCCTAGAACTCTCTTCTTTCTCCAAAATACAGTCCAAGCACCATGTTCCATATGAAGCCTTCCTTGCCCCTCCCCGCAACTGCAAATGCCCTCCCTCTCAAGCTACTTTGTATTAATTTATTTGGTATTTATTCTGTACAAATATCTGTTTATGTATTATCTTGCCTGATAGACTGTAAACTCCTTGAGGGCAGGGATTGTTTCATTCTTTTGTATTGACATCCTTAGCATCAAGCATAGTGCCTGGCACATAGTAGGTGCCTAAGAAAAGCTTGTCTATTAATTGCAAGGACTACTATTTACATTTTACAAGAGTAAAGGTAAAGAAACAGAGGTATAAAGAGCCAAAGTGACCTGCCCATGGCCACCCAACCAGTCAGTGCTAGAGTCAAAATTGAACCTCTGGCTCCAGAGCAACTGCCTCTTTGTTTCTGAAGGGAGCCCACTTATCAGAAGGCAGCAGCTGGACACTGAGGCCAAGAAGAAAAGCATGCTGGATGAAAAGTCATCCTTCGTCAAGGATGGCTTCTCAGTGTGTTGTTGATAAGACCAGGGTTTTTCTGGAATCTCTTCAGGGGCTCAAGGAGCCTCCCTTGCTGTAGTTGGGGAAACTGTGACTTGACCACCAGTAGGAAGTGCGTCATGATAGGAGTTTCTGGTGGCTGATGAGGGCTGTTGAAAATGGAGAACTGACCAGTAAGGATTTTTCAGCAGGTTCCCAGAACTCTCTGGGCAAGAAGGTTTTGGAGTCAGAAGGCCTGAGTTTGAATTGTGGCTTTGCCACCTACTATATGTGTGACCTTGAATAAATCATTTCCCTAACTCAGGGATGGGGAACTTGCAGGCTCGAGGCCTTCTAGGTTCTTGGGTGTGGCCTTCTGACCGAGTCCAAGTTTTACAGAACAAATCCTTTTATTAAGGGGATTTGTTCTGTGAAATTTGGATTCGGTCAAAGGGCCACACTTGAGGACCTAGAGGGCCACATGTAGTCTCGAGGCTGCAGGGTTCCCCACCCCTGCCTCTTTCTTTCTTTATAAAATGAGAGGGTTAGGCTCAATGATCTCTGAGGTCTCTTCTAGCACTGGCATCTTTTGACCATACAAAGGAGGATGCTCAGATACAAATGACTGGTACTGAGGATATAAAGAGAAATTTGAAATTGCAAAGAACTGGAACCTGTGTGATCTTCAAAAAGGCTCCTTGGGCCTCAGTTTCCTCCTCTGCAAAATCAGGAGATTGGACTCCATAATCAGCACATCTAAGGATCTCCTGCAGGAACCACAAGAGAATAGATTCAGAACTTGAAGGGCCAATGGAGGCGATCTAGTTCAGCCTTCTCCTTTTGCAAGTGAAGAAAATGAGGCCTAGCAACAACATTAAGGAAGTTTCCCCAGACCCCCCGGGCAGTAAGTGGAAGAACTGGGATTTGAACCTATGTCCTCTTGGATCCAAATCCAGCATTCTCTCCAGTCCCTAAGATCGTGTGGCATAGTAGAAAGGGCTGGACTTGGAATTAAGAAAGAAGTGAGTTGGAATTCCGCCTCTGACATTTACTGGCAGGCAATAAGCTGGCATAGTGGATCGTGTTGGATTTGGAGTCAGGAAGACCCAAGTTGAGATTAGTCCAGCCTCAGACACCTGGTAACTGTGTGACCTTGGGCAAGTCACTTAACCTCTCTTAGCCTCAGTTTCCTCATCTGTAAATTGGAGATAATAATAATAGCCCCTACCTTCCAGGGCTGTTGTGACGATCAGATGAAATAACCTACAGAGTGCAAACCTTAAAATGCTACCTAAATGTTGGCTATTGTCATCATCATCATTATTACCAATAGCAGTAATAGTAACCGTTATTGTAGGCAAGTCATTAAAACTCTCTGAATATTCTGATCCTGTCATGACTAGTTAGCTTTGAAACATTAAGTGTCCAAAAGTTGGCAAATGGTGACAAGATCTACTGACTGAAGATGGTGCTCCCATTACTGCCTCTGTCTGCACAGCTCACGCCCTCCACCAGGCTTTGGCTCACTTGGAAGTTTTGTACTTTGAACACAGACGCACATGACAACCATAGAGCAAGACGTCGATAGGACTGAGGCCACACATACAGCACTAGCAAGGAACACATTCACATTGTCAGTAGGGAAAGCCCTGGATTTGGAGCTCTGAGTTCAAATATCGCACCTCTACCTCTTATTATCAGTGGGACCTCGGGCAGAGTCATTTAAGTGCTTGAGGCCTCAATGCCTGGATCAAAAGAATGAGAGGATTTTACTTTGTGCTTTATCTATAAGATCCCTTCTTCTACATAGATGACCCTCTAGTCCCCGGTCCCAGCAGCTTGAAAGCTGTGATTCCCTGGTCCTGGAGCACATACACCCCCCTGCCAGTACGCAGTCTGTTTCCTGCCGTTGCCCCTTTTGTAACTGCCATCTGCTGTTGCTTCTGCCACCTGGGCATTCGCATGACCTCATCCTTGGTGAAGCCTCTTTGCCTCCCAAATCAGTGATACAACATGGAGCCTTTCTTCTGTTCTGCCCTCCTGGTTCTTCTTTTCCATTCTTCCTTTTGCTTTTTCTTCTTCAGTATTCCTGCTTAGACACCTTCCGCCATATGCCTTTGCCCCACAGAACTCTGGGTAATGTAGTTTCCTGTGTTTGCCACCTCTGCTAGCTACAGTGGCATTCTAGTGTAATGTGATCCTATGGTGCCCTTAAGTGAGGAGTGTAAGGAGATTTGGAAAGACTTAGATGAGGTTATGTGACACTGAGAAAATACAACCAGAAGAACAGTGTACACACTATGTGAAAGAAAGACAGTGTAGACCTAATAGATATTGAGCCTCCAAATCCTGGGTGCTTTCCACAATACCAAGGAAAGAAGGAAGTGAATAGGCAATGACTAAAAGTTTGTGGAATGAATGAGTGAAAAAGTAAAAGAAAGAGGTAGAGATAAAGGAAGAGAGAAAAGGGAAAGTAGGACAAAGGAATGGGAGAGGAGAGAGAGGGGGAGGGGAGGGTGGTGTAATGGAAAGAGGAAGCCTTGAATTCAAGTCTTGGTTCTGCAGCTGACTGACTTTGGGACCCCAGGTGGGTCACTTCCCCTTCTGGGGCCTCAGTTCCTCCCTTTTGGTTCCATTCAGTAAGCATCTATGAAATGTTCACTATGTGGTGGGCACTGTGATAGGTGCTAGAGAGATGAGGACAACATGAGACAGTCCCAGACCTACTGGGGAAAAGGGGTACAATGCGCCCACAGATAAGTAAAAGGTAATTTGAGGAGGGAGAACACACTAATAACTGAGAAATATTAGGAAAGACTTCTTTCATAAAGATTGGGCTAACTATATGGTCTGTAAGGCATTGTCTAGCTCTGATGTTGTGATCCAAGGGAGATAGCCTGCTCAACAGTGAGTAGCACCCAGGAACCTGCATTTTATTCCTAGCTCTGTTATCTAGCCTTTAGAAAGCACACCTAACCCCCTCTGCCCCCATGACCTAGATTTGAAACAAAAGCACAATAATTTTGGCATAGATGGGAAATGGAGGCCCCAGATATTGGGCCCCAGAGCCCCCTGGAGGGTGTGGCTCAGCCAGAGGAGGAGGCCCAAGGAGGCCTCATTATGGAGTAGCTCTTGTCATTGCCCTGCTCGAGAATCTTATAAGGGTTCTCCATTGCCTGTCACAGAATCACAGACTCCTTTTAGTATTTGTTTTACTGTTTATTTACTATTTGTTATTTTTATTACACGAATGAGGTAACACAGCTGTAAGTGGCAGAAATGTGTCTTGAGGCCAAGTCCATGGTTTTTTTCCCCATTGATTCTAATGTTAAACTCTTTAGTTCGGCATTTAACACCCTGTGTGGATTGGCCCCCTCAGACATCTCCCCTACCACTTCCTTTCTACCGCATGCTTTCTGGAGTCCAAGGACAGGCTCCCTGCACTTTGCCTATTTAGTCTTGTCTCCTTTGCACATGGAATTCCCCCCCCCCCACCTGGAACATACGTCAAGGCCCACCACGAGGCCAGAGCTGATGGCATTAACTTGTCTGCACTGTACATACAGCTAAGCCCCTGCTTAAAGATATCCACCGATGGGCAATTAACTTTTGAGGTCTCTCTGGATTGCTACCACTCATTTGAGGACATTTTTCTTTATATCAAACGGAAATGTGTCTCTCTGCAACTTCTGCCCATAGTTTCTGGCTCTGTCCTCTGGGCCAAGCAGAACACAACTGCCACTTGACAACCTTTCTGAGATCTGATGGCAGATCCCTTCCTCCCCCACCTCCAACCCGGAAGCCTTCTCCAGACTAAAAATACTCAGTTTCTTTAACAGATCCCTGTCTGGCAGAGTTTCCAGTGTCCTTCCCAACCTGGCTCCTGTCCTTTGGACTTAGCATGGCTTTTTCAATTTGTCAATTTCCTTCCTAAAATGTGACACCCTGAACCAAACATGATCTGCTGATTGGATCGATCTAGGCAGGATCATACTACTAGACCCAGTAACACTACCATATCTCTCCTTCTGGACACTTATTTCTGTCCATACAGCTTAAGATGGCATTAGCCATTTTTGGGGGCTGCCACGTCATGCTGCTGATTCACAACTGAGCTCACAGTTCACTAACACAGCCATAGCATTGCAGGGCTTTCTCCAAGAAGCTTTCCCGGATTGCTGTGGTCCATAGTGATCTCATCCTTCTCCCACAAGTAGAGTCTGTACCAGCACTGCCTTCCTTAATTCTCTTCTGTTCTGTGGCTTTGGACGGTGTGGGAGCCCTGGACCTGGAATCAGGGAGCCCTGGGTCCTGACCCTGTGACTTCAGTATTTCCTCTGCCACTGACTCCTGTGCCCTCTCTCAGCCCTCATCTCCCTGCCTACTAAATTCACAGAATGTCACACACAACGTTAGCGGGAAGTCTACACTGCACTGGGTGGGGGTGGGGGGGTGATAATGTTAACAGGATGCACAGCTGTCATTTCTCCAGGGAGGTGAGGTTTAGATCCTCGATGTTCTGTACCCTACATATCCAACCACTTGCTATCCAGATCTTGCTGTTTCTGTCTCTACAACATCTGTCACCTGACTGCTCTCCACTCACCTGGCCACCACCTGAGGTCAGGCCCTCATCAGCGCTCGCCTGCATTTGCACAATGGCCTCCTAACTGGTGTCCCTACATCAAGTCTCTTCTCACCACATTTCATCTGCCGCATGCCTGCTATGTCACTCTCACAGCTAGGTGATGCTACTCAGTCCAGAGTCAGGAAGACCTGAGTTCAAATGTGGCCTCAAATACTTACTGGTTGTATGACCCAGACAAGTCACTTAACCCGGGCCTGCCTTGGTTTCCTCAACTACAGAACAGATATAATAACAGCACCTGTCTCCCCAAGTTGTTGTGTCGATCAGATGAGATAATATTTGTAAAGAGCTTCGGATAGTTCCCAGCACATAGTAGGCACTTCATAAACGCTTGCTCTCTTCCTCTCCTCTCCTACTGAGTAAACTCCAGTGGCTGCCTGTTGTCTCTAGGATCTAATGTAAATTCCTCAGTTTAGATTTCACACAGCCTTGCCGGCAACCAGCCTGTCTTTCCTGTCATCTTAGACGTTACTCTTTCTCCTGAATTCTGTAATCCAGCCAAAATGGTGGTCTCTGTTCATCACATGACACTCCACTTCCAGACTTTGTCCCTTTGTACTAGCCAGCCCCGTCCTTCTCCAAAGAAGGCCTTTCCTGATTCCCCTGCTTGCCTTCTCTCTCAAACGACTTTGTGATAGCTGACACTTAGTTAAATACCTTGCAACGGACCACTTTGTATTTATTCTCTTTCTATTTATTCTGTATATTTACATATAAACTTATTGTCCGCTTCTGGTAGAATTCAGGCTCTTTGCACTTAAAGATTGTTTCATTCATTATATTTGTATCTCTAGTGCCTACGATGCCTGGCATACAGCAGATACTTAATAAATGCTTGTTGACTGACTGATTAACAACAGCTCAGGAGGTAGGTATTGAAAGCATTATTATCCCCATTTTATAGATTAGAAAACTGAGGCTAATGGAGGTTAAGTGATTTAGGGCCATGCTGTTTAGAGCTGAAAGGGATCTGAGAAGTCATCTAACCTAACCCCCCTATTTTGCAGAGCAAGAAACTGAAGTCTAGAATGGAAATGACTTTTCCAAGGTCACATGGATGATATGTAGGAGAGATCAGATTTGAATCCAGGTTTTTGATGAAAGGACCAGGACTTTCCCCTCACATGTGGAATATATGTGGCTGTAACTGTAATGTGTCCTTACTGCCTGTCCAAGTGTTCCCCTGAGGAGTGGCCTTCCTCAGTGGGAAGCTCTGATTGGGTTCAGTGTGCTCTGGTTTTTATTATCAGCCACAGTGGAGGGAGGGAGGGATGGGTGTTGTTCAAAATCCACAGCACTAGATAAGCCTCAAGTGGTTTCTGTTATGCATGTGAAAGCAGTATGGGTTTCTGCTTCAGACTGCAGGGTCTGGATCCAGGGTTGGGACTCTAGAAAGGGAAAGGAGTTTAGAACAGCATAGAACTTTTCAGAACTAGAAGGAAGTTCAGAACAGAGAATGTGAAGGCTGGGAGGGATATGGAGAGCCACAAGTCTAGTGGAGGTGGAAAGAGGGAAAGGAGCATTCCCACGGTCACACAGTGAATGTGATTGGCAGAGTGGGGGGCTCTTGCCTCCCAGGTCAGGGCTCTGTCACTGCTGCTTGGCTGAAAGTTAGGGAGAGTTTGCATCCTGAAAGACCCTAGTGCCTAAATGCAAGGTTGCAGTGGGAGATTGAGGGGTGGGAAATTACCTAGACTCACTACAGGCTGTGGCTGCCACCATGTGCCCCTGCCCAGGAATAATGGGGAGGGGTCTAGGGAGCTTGGGAGGGGGCTTCAAGGCTCCTAGTTCAGCCACTTGCCTTCATCTCTTCACGCTTTCCCCTTCACCCACCCCTTGGCCCCATAGTTAGAATAATAAGCCTAGGGTAGGGCTAACAATTAGTATACATCAGGGAGCTGGAGGCAGGTGCCACCTAGTGGCCAAATCTGGAATATGGGTGGGGTTGAGTGGGGAAATGGGGAGATAAGAGCTGTTAGTCCAAGAAGGTTCCCAGCTCTCCAAATAAGGGAATCCCTTCTGCTACTCCCTCCACACCTGAGGGCACCCAGGGCCTACTACTACCTGTTCTGTGGGCTAAGGAGACATCACACCTATTCATGCAGGATGAAAGGGCCCTTCCCCTAACTTCAGAGGATGAATAATATTCTCTGCTCTTTCAATCTAACACATGGAGAGTTAGTGAACCTTCTTCCATCCGTGAGTAACTAAAGGACTGGGACTGTGGTGACAAGTCTTTTGGGTTGGCTGAGGAGCTATAAGATGGCAGGAGAAGTTGAGTAGGAAGTGAATGTACATAAAAAGGTTTGAGTGGAGATATAGGCTGTCTTCCCTGAATGCTTTTAAGTGAGGAAGACTGCTGTGAGCTACTTTGGGGGTGGGAGGTCAGCAGTAAGCCATATTACCCCCTCTCCTTCCAGCTACCATGTTATCCAGGAATGGATGGTACCTCTATTTCTTTTGTGTTTATTCTTCCCTGATCTGAGGTTAAGGAGTATACAGAGATGGAATTTCGTGTTTCTGATCTTAGGTTGAGGAGTATCTGGAGATGGAATTGAATGGGTAATAACCTTGTGAACTTCAGAAGGTCAGATGAACTGTGAGAATCCCCTCAGCAACCAGTTGGTAGCAGAGACCACTGAAGTTGGCAGCAGCAGCAGCCAGGTCCAGCAGCTGATGTACCTTCTTGACCCAGCCCAGCAGGGGATTGAACCATCAACTGAGAAATTGTGTCCTGAAAGGAGCCAGCCCACTTAACAAGTTAACTTGTTTATCAAGACACCACACTTTGAAGCAAACTTGATGGAGACACTCTGAAGGTGGAAAAAAAAAGTCTTGGAGCCAGGTGTAATGAGGTAATCCTATAGGCTCCATGTACTCCCTAGTATATGCCTCATAACCTTTAATTTTGATTGATACCAAATTTTGAGCCTACTCTCCTCGTGGACTTTGTGCAGAGAGGAGGATGTGCCCACTCCACTTGGGGGGAATGTTCTTGTAAACTTCTTTCTATGACTTCACAATAAATGGCCTTTTGTAAAAGCTAATTAATTGATGTCAACTGGCTGATTGATATTGTGGTAAGGAATACACCAGATGAGGGCCCATGAGTAACAGTATTAGAAGTCACAACGTTCTCATTCAAGATTACCCCTAGAATCCCGAGGGGAGCAGTCTTCTGGGGACCTGGCCTGCTAGTGTGAGTGCAAGTTGGTGAATCATCCTGCTCTGATTTCCTAGGTGCATGACCGTGAGCGGGTCACTTGAACTCTCTCTGAGCTTCAATTTTTTCCTCTGTAAAGGTTGAGGCTTTTCCTGGGACTGGAGCCTGAAAGGTTTATTTAGATTCTTCAGGAGAGATATAATCCCCTTTCATTTGCTTGTTGTGCTTATGCTTGGCATGTGGGTGGATGACAGCGATTTTGTATGAAAGCTAACATTCTCCATAGAAAGAAATTATTTGGTAGATTGGTGATATTTATTTTTGTGCTAAATGCTTTCAAAGATCATCAGCATATAATTTAGCTTTGTATGAATGGGGATGATGTAGTCCTGTGTTCAAGGAGAAATGAGAGAGAAGAGAAGAAAGAGTGGAGAGTATCCCCTTCAAAAGCTGGGGCAGAAAGGGCCTCGCCGGCCTACTTCCTAGTTTTCTGGTTCTTTCATTCCTCCTTGTCTGCACACTGACGTTGACCGCCTCCCTCTTTCCCACTTCTAGTCCGGCACATCCACAAGGCCCCTTGTAACGTCACCTCTGGGAGCCCAAACAATCCCTGTTTTCAGAAGTTAAGGTTATCTTGCATCAGGCTGCCTGTGTTCTAGATATGTTCCCCCTTCCATTTCTGGAAAATACTAGAAGCTTTCATATCCCTTCCAAGTATAGTGAGGGCTTCTTGCCGGTCTCTGGAACCTTCCTTCCGGTGACATTAGAGATGGAAACTCAAGTAGAAGTGCTTGAACAATTCTCTGATCCCTTCTTATAAAACTCATGGTTCCTGCCTTCTTTGGGGCGAGGCCCAAGTTATGTTGACCCCTGCCCTGATGTGCTAACTCTGGCTAACTCTGTCTGGGAGTAGTGGGGTGGGGGTGGGGTCACGAGATGACCTAGCTTAGCGATGTGGGCAAGCTGCTTTACTAGCTGGGTGACCTTGAGCAGGTCCCTTAACCTATCTGCCTCAGTTTCCCTAAGTGTAAAATGGGGGCAATAATAGCACTTGCCTCCCAGGGTTGTTGTGAGGACCAAAGGAGGTAATATTTGTAAAGTACTTAGCACAGTGCCTGGCACAAAACTGGTACCGTATAAATGTTAGCTACTATTATTATCATGCTCCCAATCCTCAGCTGTTTTACATCAGGCCATAAGTAAAGTCAATGGACATTTATTAGGCACCTACTATGTGCTGGGCACTGTGCTAAGTGTCAGGGATACAAAGAAAGGCAGAAATAGCCCTTGCTCTCAAGGAGCTCACAATTTAAATGGGGGAGAGAATAAGAAAATTGCTGTGTATAAATGAGACGCAGCCACAATTCATCGACGCAATCTGGGAAGGAAGGCACTAACACTGAGGACACTGAGAACCAGGAAAAGCTTCTTGCAGAAGGAGGGATTTTGGCTGAGATGTGAAGGAAGCCAGGGAAGCCAGGAGGCAGAGGTGGGGGCCGGCACGGAGACAGGAGGAGTGAAAACGCCCAGAGTCAGGATAGAGGATCTCGAGAGCAGAACGGCCAGGAGGTGGGAGTCACTGCACCGTGGAAGACACGAAGGTCACACTGGAAGGGCAGGAAGGGGTCTTCCTTTGTGTGAGTTGGTCTCCTTTTTTGAAAGCTCCTTTCTGCTCCCAAGTTGCTAAGAACGTCTGGGCCACCCCCGGGGGAAGGGGAGGCTGGAGAAGGCAGAGCTTTTCTTGGCTCTTCCCAGTTATGTGGGGGTAGAGGACCAAACCAGCACAAGGGAGAAGGAAACGACGCGAGCAGCCGCTCTGAAGGACAGCCCACACTTTGGGGAGGCCTGCTGAGTCAGAAATAAGTCAATTCTCCCGAGCACTTCCTGTGCCTGTCTCCTATTTCCCAGCCTGAGTCTCTGCCCTTTGCAACTACTTTCCTGCTTCTTCCCACCTTGGACTCTGGAGCTGTGAAGAAACACTGGCCTGCTTCCCCTTTGCTCGGGTCCTGACTGGGCCCCTGTCTGGAGAAGAGTCCTTCTCCCAGCTCCTGGGACAACCCTTGGGGCAAACTGAGGCAGAGAAGGAGAGACTTCTCCACCATTAATGTCAAACAAAGGGTTACAGCTGTTAGAGACTTCAGGGCAGGGCTCCTTTCCCTGAGTTACATGAACTTAAAAAAGAAAAAGTTTTGATAACTGTATTTCAATATAATTGGTTTCCCTCTAGTCCAGTGGATTTTATTTTTGTATTTAAAAACATTATTCTGAGAAGGGGCTAAACAGACTGCTGGGGCAAAAAAGAGGTTAAGAACTGGTCCAACTCTTTAATTTTACAAATAAGGAAATTAAGTTGGAGAGGGTAAAGGGGCTTTGATGAGGCCACATAATAACTAGCAGAGCCTGGTTCAGAGTGGCCTCTTCTGACTGAATCTAGCGATCCTTCCACCACACTCCATGGGCTGGAAGTATAGATGGGGAGAGTCATGGGCACAGGGGAGACTGCAGCCCAGGTAGGGAACGCAGGTGCATTTCTGCCTATAGAGATGAGGAGAAGGAGTGGACAAAGCCATTGTGCGGGATATGATTGACCGTGCGTACGGAAGCTGCTGGTGCAGCCCCCATTTGGGGTGATCCTCTTCCCAAGTGAATATCAGCGTATTGCAGCCCTCTCTGCCTCGGCAGTAAGAATCAGGAGTTTTCTTTCAGGTACACGAGAACCACTTGTAACTTGTTAGGTTAGTTTGGCTGTTAAAAGTGCAACAGGCTTCCTCCCACCAACCTTTAACTTGGGAAGGAAGTCTTACTATACGGGCTTCCCCATCCCCCTTCTAAGACAGCAGAGCTTCTTCAAGGTCACCCTTAGGCTTCTTGAGGACAGGGACTATTGTATTATCTTTGCACTGGGTTCTGGCAGTATGGCCCTCAGTGTGAATTCTGACTCTGCTGCTTACTGCCTGTGCCCTTTGGCACACACTAGTCTCCTGACGTCTTTAGACCTCTCTTTACTCATCTGTAAACAAGGGAGAGTAGAAGGTCTAAAGGAGACAGCTAGGTGGTTCAGTGGATAGATCGCTGAGCCTGGAGTCAGGAAGACCAGAGTTCAAATCTGGCCTCAGACAGTCACTGGCTGTGTGACCCCGGGCAAGTCACTTAACCCTGTTTGTCTCAGTTCCCTCATCTGTAAAAAGAGCTGGAAAAGGAAATGGCAACCACTCTAGGATCTTTGCCGAGAAAACTCCATGGACAGTGTGGTCCATAGGGTAATGAACAGTTGCACACAATTGAATGACTGAACAACAAGATAGACTGAATGACCAAAGTCTAAACTCAAATGGACTAGATCACAGGTGTCCTACACACAGCCACTCCTGACTGCTGCCTGCGTCATATTAAAATGTAATCCAGAATAAAATTAAAAAATTAAATAAATAAATAAAAAGGAATAAAAATAAAAAATAATTAATAAATAAAAATATAACAACATGTGGATAATGTTAACATGTGGTTTTCCAAGACAATATGCACCTACAGGGATTCTTATGTACCACTTAATGGCCCCTGTTTCTATTTGAGTTTGATATCACTGAACAAAATGACCTATAAGGTCCCTTCTAGACCTGCAAAAACCTGAATTTCCTGTTCTCTTTCCTGTCTCAGATGTTAATGTTATTCTGGGAGTACCCATGCTCTATACTCCAACTTACTTAACTTTTTGTTTTTATTATTTTCTTTTGGCATTTTAGTTAAATAAACAGTCTTTATTTAAAGTTTCCTTGAAAAAAAAATAAAATCCTCAGTTTTGAAGTCAGGGGAGGCCAGATTTTCTGCCCTTTCCATGAGGCTCCTGAGTTCAGGTGAAAAGAAAACCAACATTAAATTTTTATTTTAAACTGACTTATAAGTTCCAGAGGTTCTCCTAAATTGGAAAACTTTGGAATGCTTAGTTGAGGCATTGTAGGAAGATTGGAAAGAAGATATGACCAGTTTTCTTTTTTTTAAATTAAATTTTATTTTATTTTCAATTATCAAGCATTTATTTTCTCCTTCCCACCTCCCTTCATTGAAAAAAAAAAGGGAAAAAAAGGCTGGAAGGAAAGAAGGAAGAAAGAAAGAAAGAAAGGGTCCTGGTAACAATTAAACATAATCAAGCAAGACAAATTTCCATATTGGCCAGGTCCACAAATGCATGTGAAACCAGCTTTCTTAACCCTTGGAAGCCTGGGCAGGGCTCTGTCTCTTACTGGGCAGGCCAGAGAAGACAACTGCTTTGTCCTCTGTTATTTGACCAACTTCTCTCTAACCTGTACATAAAACAGCTTTTAAGGGGAAAGGTTCACTATCGGAAACAAGACAATAAAACAAATTAGCACACTGGGTGACCTTACAGCCAAAACACTGCCTGAGCCAAGACTTCAAAGTCCTGCCTCCAGCTGGAGCTGACTCGCTCATACAGCTGCTGCCCATGGGCCGGAATTCCCAATTGGGGTGGGAAACTGGTTTACATTGGATGGTTACTTTAGAAATAAAACGCCCCCGTGGCCATTCCTTCTAACCTAATCATCCAGCTTCAACGTCTGCTAGTATTTATCTCTCTGGTAGCACCTTAGAACTAGCTATCCTATGGCCTGGCACTAAAATGAGCCCATCTACAAATGAGGGAGGCAGGGCTTACATAGGAAGTGGAGTTCTTTCTCTAACAAGACGGTTAGACTTGGTCTAAAGGCCAGTGATAGATCCTTAGTCAGCAAGTGCTGCTGCCTCGGCTATCTGTTTTATCATAGCTACTGTCCTTCACCATAAAGTTGGCTTTACTGGATTTGGGAGTACAGAGGAACATGTGGTATAAGTATCTTGCCCAAGAGGGGTTTCAGCTAGGAGTTCAGT